AGAGGCCCAAGAGGCCGAATTTGCTGATTTTTCATATGTTGTTGTAAGTTTTTAGGGCCCCGGAAGGGGGCGATCAGTTTGGTACGGCGCTGCGGCGCGGCTCCCAGGGGGGTCAGGGGGGGAAACATAATAATGTAACACATTATAATATGCTGCAAGTGTGGAATATTTGGGTACATTGGATACGTTGCATTAAGGCGTTCGCCGAAAAACGCCGCCGCTCAGCACGTCACTTCCAGACGTGGATTCCTCTCGCTTCGCGGGGTGCACGTCCGGAGCACGTACAGTCACGTCGTCGCGGAGCCTCTTGGGAGCCTCTTGGGGGCCTCCTGGAGGCGTCCTGGGAACTTCTTCGGGCCTCTTGGGGACTTTTTTGGGGCCTCTCCCCCTCCCTCCTTTTCACACTTCCTCCCCATATTTCCTTCCAGCGCCGGCTCTAATCATGGGCGCCGCTGTGACCAACTTCCACCTGGCTGACGCTGCGCCGCAGTTCGCCCAGGTTGGAAAAATGACATTACACTCCAGTCGTTGTGTGGCCTTTGGGGGGTTTCTTTGGAGCCTTTGGGATGCTTCTCGAGGACATCTTGGAGGCCTCTTGGGGGCTTTTTGGGGCCCCTCGGGGGTCTCTTGGGGGCCTCTTGTGGCCTCTTGGGGGCGTCTTTGGCCGTATTGGTGCGTTTTTGCGCCGCTTCGCCCCTTCGGATCCGGGTTCTGGCGACAAGGCAGACCCGAACAAGTGGAGGCCCATCGCAGTGCTGGACGTCACGTACAAGGTTTTCTCAAAGATGCTGAACAACAGGCTGAAGCCCATTTTGGACAGCGAGCAGCCCTCCGAACACATGGGTTTTAGATCTAAGACGGGCGTTGGTCATGCCCTCATGGTGCTGGAGTGCGTCATAGGTCAGCCTATCGAGTGGAACGTGCCGGTCTGGATCGTCAGCATCGATCCGAAAAAGGTTTTTTGACCGGGTCTGCCACAGCTCGCTGTTTGACGCGTTGCGGGAGCAAGAGGTCGACGAGTCCTACCTCGCGCTGCTGGCGCGGCTGTATTCCGGGCAGTGCGGCAACGTCGGTGGACAGGTTTCGTTCCCTATCTGCCGGGGTGTGCGGCAAGGAGATATACTCAGTCTTGCCTTGTTCAACGCCGCGTTGGAATCTGTACTGCGGCGGTGGAAAACGAGGATGGGGAGCTGCGGCCTGCTTTTGGACAGCACCCACGAAAGGCTCACGAACATCAGGTACGCTGACGATTTGCTGCTGTTCGGGAAGACTTTCGATGAAGCCATATCAATGTTTGAGGCTCTATCGGAAGAGCTCGCCAGGGCAGGCCTCTCTATCAATGGCTCCAAAACGAAGATGCTGACAACGGATTCGGAGTCTTCAGACAGCGATGTTCCGCTTCTGGCTGATGCTGGAGAATGCATGGCTGAGATCTTGCGAGGCGAGGCAACGCACAAGTATCTGGGACGTATGTTCTCTGGAGACTTACGGCGGAGAGGGCAGTGTAATCTGAACCACCGTTTGGCTTGCGGCTGGATGAAGTTCCACAATTTAGCACCGACCTTGCTGAAACGGAAGATTCCTGTTTTGTTGCGCCTCGAGCTCTTTCACAGCGTCGTTACCCCTGCTGTCTGCTACAGCTTGTCGACGACACCGCTGACTTCGGAACAGATTGGCAAGCTGGATGTCGTTCAAAGAAAAATGCTATGAAAAATCGTTGGATGGTTCGTTTTGACGACGAAGATTGGGGGACCACAGGACGTCGCATGAAAGCAAGATTAGAGGCCGCGCTCCAGCGGCACCCCGTGCTGGAGTGGAGCCGCGTAAGGGAGTTCGCCAGAGACAGGCTGCTTCGCACTGTGGAAACCGGAACGGCGCCGCTAGTAGCGCAGCTGGCCGCCAGCTGGGTTCCGGCGCAAGTTCGCGATCACCTCCCACAGCGCACTCCGCATAGACGGCGGGGAAGGCCGAGACAGAGATGGACTGACTGATCGCCGATGCTGCCGCTGGCGTCCCCTTCCCCTCCCCCCCTCCCCTCTTTCCCCCCCTCCCTCCCTTCCCCCTCTCCCCCAGGCGTGGCTGCGCCGGCGTAGTTTGGCCAGACGAACAACAGATGCTACTGCCGCGATGCATTCCAAATTTTCCGGTGGCAATCCTAAGGAATGTCGCTGTGCATGCTCATCCCCGTGTTCTGAATCAGGACCGGCCTTTGAGCCGATCGGGCGTTGCGTTGCGTTGCCCCTTCGGAGGCCGTCTTGGGGGCCGCTCGCGGCCGCCTCGGGGCCGTCTTGGGGTCGTCTTGGGCCGTCATAGGGGCCTCCTGGACCGTCTTGGTGGCCTCTTTGGGCCGTCTTGGGGTTCTGTTGGGCCGCATTGGGGCCCTCTTGGGGGCTTCTGGGGTTGTTGTGGAGCGATTTGGGAATCTGCTTGGGCCGCAAAGGCGAGAACGCTAAACTATCACCAAACCAACGGGAAATCAATGAGTTCAGTTTCTGGAGGCGCAGTTGTGGGCGCTGTTGGGGCCCTCTTGGGCCGTCATCGGAGCTTTTTGGGCCCTCTTGGGGCCGTCTTGAACCGTCTCGGGGCCGTCTTGGCCCGCGCAGAGCCCATCTTGAGCCGTTTTGGCGCCCTCTTGGCCCCCCAAGAGGCCCAAGAAATCGAAAGCAACGATTTTCTATAGGTTTTGGTATGTATTTGAGCCCCGGGAGGGGGGGGGCCATTTTGGTCCGTTCCTCTTGGCGCAGCTCCCACGGGGGGGGTTAGGGGGGAAGACATAATAACGCAACAGAGTGCAATACGTGGCAATTATGCAATCGTTGGATACATTGGATACGTTGCATTAAGGCGTTCCCGAAAAACGCTGCCGCTCAGCACGTCACTTCCGGACGTGGATTCCTCTCGCTTCGCGGGGTGCACGTCCGGAGCACGTACAGTCACGTCGTCGCGGAGCCTCTTGGGGGCCTCCTGGAGGCCTCCTGGGACTCCTGGGGGCTTCTTTGGGGCCTCTCCCCGCTCCCTCCTTTTCACACTCCCTCCCCACATTTCCTTCCAGCGCCGGCTCTAATAATGGGCGCCGCTGTGACCAACTTCCACCTGGCTGGCGCTGCGCCGCAGTTCGCCCAGGTTGGAAAAATGGCATTACTCTCCAGTCGCTGTGTGGCCTTTGGGTGGGTTCTTTGGAGCCTTTGGGATGCTTCTCGAGGACATATTGGAGGCCTCTTGGGGGTTTTTTGAGGCCCCTTGGGGGCCTCTTGGGGGCCTCTTGGGGCCCCTTGGGGGCGTCTTTGGCCGTATTGGAGCGCTTTTGCGCCGTTTCGCCCCTTCGGAGGCCGTCTTGGGGGCCTCTCGCGGCCGCCTTGGGGCCGTCTTGGGGTCCTCCTGGGCCGTCATAGGGGCCTCCTGGACCGTCTTGGTGGCCTCTTTGGGCCGTCTTGGGGTTCTGTTGGGCCGTATTGGGGCCCTGTTGGGGGCTTCTTGGGTTGTTGTGGAGCGATTTGGGAAGCTGCTTGGGCCGCAAGGGCGAGAACGCTAAACTATCACCAAATCAATGGTTTGGGTTTGTGGAGGCGCAGTTGTGGGCGCTGTTGGGGCCCTCTTGGGCCGTCATTGGAGTTTTTTGGGCCCTTTTGGGGCCGTCTTGCACCGTTTCGGGGCCGTCTTGGCCCGCACAGAGCCCATCTTGAGCCGTCTTGGCGCCCTCTTGGCCCCCCAAGAAGCCCAAGAAGTCGAATTCATCGATTTTCAATGAGTTGTGGTAAGTTTTTGAGCCCGGGGAGGGGGGGGGGAGGCCACTTTGGTCCGTTCCTGTGTCGCAGCTCCCACGGGGGGGTTAGGGGGGAGACACAATAATGTAACACAATGCAATATGTGGCAATTATGCAATCATTGGATACATTGGGTACGTTGCAGTACAGCATCCGCGGAAAACGCTGCCGCTCAGCACGTCACTTCCGGACGTGGATTCTTGGGCTTACGCCGCACCGCCGACCCCTCGGGGAGCTCCTGGCAGGTCTCTCGAGAGCCTCCTGGCAGCACATTTGAAGGTTTTGGGGGGTCGCTTTGGGGCCTCTTGGGGCCTCTTTCGGGCTCCTGGTGGGCCTAACATTGCTTCTGAGCGGGTAGTGGCCTGAGGTGCTTTAGGAGGGCAAGACATGTCGGTGAAGCGGGAGTCATCCACTTCGCGGAGCTATCGAATGTCCAAGCCATTCGTGGAGCATCCACCTCGCGGAGCTATCCACTTCGCGGAGCTATCGAACTTGCTATGTAACCCACCTCGTTACGCCTCACATTATCCCACCCTCGCATCCACTTGTAACACCCGTGTTTCCCTAGCATCGCCGCGGTGATCCCAGCACCAGCTTGGCTCGGAGCTCTAATGGCCGCTCTGCGGAGCCGCGGGGAACCCGACTGCTGACAGCAGCCCTCGCGGACAAACACAAAAACGAACACATCCACTCCAAAAGCTAAGTCGGAGCGACGGCTCGCCTTTTCCCCCCTCCTGTCATCCTCGCCGTTCTGACCTTACTCTGCAATTTCAATGAACCTTGCCTATCCTGTAGCTGGATGTCGCCTTTTCCTATGTCCGGCGCGGAGTCAACGTGGCCTCAATCCTTCAATATGGATTCGGACATTCGACGCGGATTCGGCCCGAGTAGCGACGCGATGGAACAGGCAAGGTGCCCAAGTGATCGTTTTTTATTAATTGTTTTTCCGATCGGCGCGGGCCCTCGCACCCCCCATCCCCCCCATGGAGTGGATCTTTGCTGTTTTTGGCGCCTGTTTCGAGCAGGTGGAGTCTCCCCCAGAGGCCGCACTCTTGCAAACAGTCGCACTAAGCAGAGGTCTGGAGTCAGACCCCCCCCTCCCCCCCCTTCCGCCAAATGTCGAAACGCCGAATCAAAAAAGCGCTCACCAGAGGATGCAGCATAATTCACCCTCCTCATCCCCGCCCCCGTTCCCTGCCTCGCCCTCCTGCGCGTCACCCTCTGCCGTTGCTGCAGGAGCTGCAGGGCTGGGAGGACGGCCAGCGCGGACGGGAGGTGAAGCACCACTTGAAGAACCCCGAGGTCCAGAGGGAGATACAGGACAGCCACGCGCCGAGGGGGGTGGGGGGAGGGGGGAGGGCTTCTTAGAGGCCCCCCCCTTGCTTCTTAGATTAAGAAGCAGGGAAGGCGCGGGCCTTATCTATAGATGTAAGGCTGGCGCCTGCTCAGAAGCAGCCTCCTTCTAAGAAGCCCTCCCCCCTCCCTCCTCCCCCGTGTGCGCACCGCCAAAAGGACAGGGTTCGATCGTCGAGACCAGTGGTGTTGGCGAGTCGGTCGTTTTGGCTGCGTCGCAGTCGGATAACTTCGGTCGGTTCGGTTCGGTCGGTTGTCTTGCCGCTGTCGCATCTCAGCACCCTTCTAGACTGCTTGCGGCTTGCCGATTTCGGTCGGCTTCGGTTTCGCTGTCAGTTCGGTCGTTTGTCCATGTTGTTGTCGCCTCGGACGGTCATGGAGATTCTTATTCCCCAAGCAGCGTTTGCGCTTTATGTCTCTTGTTCGGTCTAAACGGAACTGGGCCTGGGTGTCGATCCGGCTGGCTTGGTTTTGCCGTCGCCCGGGTGTCAGTCGCCGCCCTTGTTGTCACCGTCGCCGCCCGTCGTTCGCCGCTCCATTTCGCCTGGCTGTCGTCCGCCGCGCTGGTTGTCGCCGTCGCCGCCCGTCGCCGTCTCGTCGCCGCCCGTTGCCGCCTCGCCGTTGCATCCCTCCCCGTTGCATCGCAACCGAATACAATCGATTGCACCACATAGACTGGACCACATAGTTTTCGGCACATGAATTACACCGCATATTGCACAACATAGCTTGCACCCCTTCGTAGTACTGCATCGCTTACACCACGTAGCTCACACTGCGGATATTGCACCACGTAGCTCACATCATCGATGTGAAGCAACCTGACTGGTTCACATCGAACACAACATATAGCTTACACCAACGGTTGCACAATCCATATATGTATATATACATATATGTATATATATATGTATAAACATCTGTTCTCTTTCCTAAAACAGCATTCGCATGGAAATGTGCGTATGATTCCGCCCCATCGTCCATCCTACAGTATGAACCCACACCATCTCAGACAGGCCGGTATCGGCCCCCCTTCATCCGTTCTGCAAAAAAATGCTCTGCGCGCGCACTCGCTGATCAAAACTCACCTGCTTTCAATAATCCCTTTGCACACGACGGGACGAAGTGAACACAACGGGACGAATGTGGATCTCGCAAGGATTTCAGAACCGATCGTCGCGAACAAAAATAACAACACGCGGTTTCGCAACAAGGGTTTTCAAACAACAGCCTGCGCCCGCGCCCTTGCGAATCCTGAAGATAACAATCGGTTTTCAACATTATCATAACATGCTGCCAAGCGGGCCTCTCACGCGCGCATGTCGAAATCGCTCGAACGCCCTTGCGCGCGTGTTGTCGCAACAATCCGTTGCAACAAAAGGGACGACGTGCGCACGTGCGCGTCGTCGCGCGAGCATGCCGAAATACTTCAAAAACGTTAGGTTTCGCAGGGGTTCAAACTACGAGTGTCCCGAACATATACAAAACTACTTGTTTGCAACACCAGTTTTCAAACAAGCCTGCGCTCGCGGTCTTGCGGATTGTTACGAACGCCATCGTCTTTTGTTGTTGTCAGCATAGTCATCTAAATTTCTCCCATACGGGCCTCTCGCGCCGCATGCCGAACCCATTCGAACGCCGATGCGCGCGTGCTGGGTGGGCACGGTCCGTTTCAAATCATATCACGCGGGCCAATCGCGCGCGACGGCATCGTGCGCATGTCGAGTTCCGTCAATAATTCATCGCCGACGCGAAAACATCGTTATCGTTATTGGCGGGCGGGATCAACATCGGCGCCGTCATTGCCTTTGCTGTCGTCATCGCCACCATCGTCACCATCATCGCTACTCTCATAAATAGCGTCTACCGTTGTCGGCGTCGCCATGATACCGCGCCCTCCCGAGTCGCCGACTCGCACTGAAGTGCTTGCTGGTAAGTGCCCAGCAGTCAGCGCCACCGCGGCCGCGTCGGGCGCGCCAAACTAGCTGGCCGTTGTGTGCGCGAGCATGCGCGGGCTAGCGCGGCCGCAGAGGTGCACCAGCCAACGCCAAGCACTTATCGCAATCGCCGCCGCATGGGCTTTGCAATCTCAGTTGCGGGTGTGTGGGATGTTTTCAAGAGCAAGGAATTGGCCAACTCGTTTGCACACATCGATTGCGCCGTATAGTTGTCACGACGCCACATAGCTTACACCATATCAGGGTGATGGGGCCCGAACGGTCTCATTTGATCCTTGCGCGCGTGTGGCTGGGGTAGTGGCGGCGGCGCTGGAGGGGGGGGGGGGGGGGGGGGCACGCTTGGGGGGGGGGGGGCACGTTGGGAGGGCACGGTTGGAAGTCACGCTGGGATGGCACATCGGGGGGGCCACGCTAGGGTGGACACGCGGAGAGGGCACGTCGGGTGGGCAAGTGGGGAGGGCACGTTGGAAAAGGCGCGTCGGGAGGGCGCGTTGGAACGGCGCATTGGGGAGTCGGATTGCTAGGAAAAAACTTGGTCGTAACTCCGCTTCCCCGTCCCGCCTTCCCCTCCCCATCCTCTCCCTCCTGGCCCCCCCGCCGTTATTATCCGCAATGGCGGCGTGCGTGCTATAAACATAGAGTGAGTGCATCACATAGCGTACACCACATACCTTGCACCACGTACATTGCGCTATATGGCTCACGGCCCATAGATCGGACCACATAGATCGCACCGCAGAGCTCACACCACATTTGTGGACTTGCAGATCCCAATCCCTTTTAGGCGCCTGCCTACTTCAAGGGTCCAGCGGCGTTTCCTCTCCAGAGGCGGGGGGAAACCCAAGATACTTCCAACGCCTTCCTACTTCATGTTTCTACCCACTTCCTCCGACCGACGGGCACCTTAGCTCGACCTGGGTTGCGCCACATAGCCTACCGCATACATCTCATTGCATATATTGCACCTCTAAGTAAGATTGCGCACCACATAGATGACACCACATAACTTACGCCACATACATTGCACAACGTCGATTGCAGCATATAGCTTACACCACACAGGTTGCACCACATACGCCGGACCATACACACATTGCACCAGATTAGCATGTGAGAACTCGCTGTTCGGGCCCCACGCTGGCCGGCGTCTGCATCCCTGGTGCTTCGGTAGGGCGCTCCAAGAGAGACCCCGCCGCCTCCGGAGGAGGAGGCGGAGGAGGAGGAGGAGGAGGAGGAGGAGGAGGAGGAGGGGAGGGCGGATTTGCCGACGGAAGCTCGGCGGAAGGCCCGCTGAAGCGGGAGGGCGTAAAACGTCACCCCGCAAGAGAAGACAACGTTGGCGTACTTACAGTTTCCCGAGTCGGGCGCATAGTCAAAGGGAGACATGAGAACGCCCCCGGTCGCTAGACATACACACCCTTGCATCATCCTTCTTGTTCTTCCTTTCCCGTGGGACCCAGATCACGCTGATATGTACTGCCCTTTGTAGAACCCGATTAAATTTGCATGGGATCACATCTGTCCCCACGTTTGTTGGGCTGTTTGTCCTCCAGTTTGCTGTCGTTGGCCCCGTCTGCGGTGGTTGAAAGATGGTGTCCTGAGGACTACGGTCCTAAGGATAGAGAGGGATCCAAGGATGGATTCCAATTGTTTGGGGCACCTCGTCCTTAGGACCCAATCCCTCAGGAACCCATCTTTGAACCAACGAACGAGGTGCCTCGTCACACCTCTCGAGTTGGGTGGCGCTCTTTTACCGGCGGGGCTGCTGCAGGAGCTCACTCGAGACCGCGCCCAAGCCTTCCCGACGGGAGTGTCGGAGCAAGCGCTCTGGGGGCAGCGGCCCCTGGCCCGGCTCACAGCCAACCTATGGCGGTCCTCGGTCATATCGGAGACTGGCACTCCTGGGCCAAGCGCCAAGTCTGCATCTGCTGTCAGGGCAGGGTCGGAGCAGCTACATTTCAGTCGGGCCTGTCCCTCTACAGCAGGAGTGCTCAAAAATAGTAAGTAAAATGGTCCGGGGATGATTCTTTGAGTATTTTCGATGATGTTTTGAATCTTCTCGATAGTCTTTGAATGTCTCAAATGTTTCGCCCAGAACCCCCTGTGGGGAGACAGGCCACCCTGGAGCTGCATCCCTGGAGCACAGTGCTGCTCACTATGGCACGACCGGGAGAGAGCCTGCGGCACCCGGGCGCCACCGAGCCGCCGGGACAGGCGTCGGGCTTCCGAGCGTCTCGCCCAAGCTGGCGCTCATCCCCAGCGCGCCGGGCTACTATCGGGCCGGGCGAAAGGGGGGGATTGGGAAAGGGGGGGTTACGAAATTTGCTGCACGCAGCTGGTTTCGGCCTCACCGAGGAGCCCCTTCCTCGATACATAGCCGCCTCCGGCGCCGGGAGGCGCCGGGAAAGTCAGCTACGTGAGCTGATTCTCACCCCCCCCCTTTGCTATCCCCCCCTTTCGCCCGACCCGATACTACAAGTCTCTCACTCATCGTCCCTCGGGTCCCGTGTTTTAAGGCGCCTTTTTTGTGATTGGGGGGGGGTCCGGTTTGTTAGGGCGCTGTCTTTGGATTGGAGCTCAGGGGGTCCGGCTTATTGAGGCGCCCCGTCGAAGAGGGGGGTCCGGAATAGGAAAATGAGGTCGCACTTGGAGGGGGGTCCGGTTTTTTAGGGGGGGACCACCTTCAAATGCAACCTAATATTCCGGACTTCCCTCTTCGACGGGGCGCCGTAAGAAAGCGGACCCCCCAAGCTTCAATCTACAGAGAGCGCCCTGAGAAACCTGACCCCACCAGTAAAAGAAGGCGCCTTAAGAAAACCGGACCCTGGGGACGATGAAGAAGGGAGTTGGAGTAGGAGCAGGCGGCTGGTTGGGCGCGGGACTCGGACGACGCTGCGCTGACATCAGCAGCAACATAAAGTTCAGGAAGTCCGGGCGGATCCTTGGACTTGCGCTGGGCTCCCTCTTGGCGGCCCCCCCGGCGCAGCCACTGGCGCGCCCCCCGCGCGCCAGGAGGGGGGTCAAGCGCCAACCCTGGAACTCCTCCGCCTCTGTGTCTACCTCCTCCACCTCCTCCTCCTCTTCCTCCTCTTCTTCCTCCTCCTTATCGAGGCATCTCCCCTGCACGCTCGTCTCCCCATCGAGGCGTCAAGATGTCGTGGCTTTCAGGCCTCGCTTGCGGGTGGGTGGTTGGCAGGCGCTCTCTCTCTCTCTCTCTTTTTTGTTCTCTCTCTCTCTCTTTCTCTCTCTCTCTCTCTCTCTCTCTCTCTCTCCTCGTCACCCCTCGCGTGAGGGAGGTCCGCCGCGTCAGGCCCCCTTCCGGAAGATCCCCCCCAGGGCGGATCCCGCGCTCACCGCCTCCTCGCGGCCTGCTGCGGCAGGTCGCGCGGGTTTGGCGGGAGGGCCCGGGGGGGATATGTTGTTGTGCCTTGCTGTTGGCCCCATCATACCCAGCGCCGTGTAGTCGAGAAGTGTGGGATCTGCCCTGGCAGGTGGGGGTCTCCCTCCCTCCCGAGGCCCTCCCCCCCTTCCTCGGAATGGCGCTGGGGTGATGCAGCCCGGATGCCTTCCACGAGGCTCTGGCCAAGGGCCTGGCCAAGTGGGCGCTCTCCGAGGCCCCGTCCCCGCGGCATCCGCATTCTGCCTTCGGGCCACCAGCCGGCCTTGCCCGTTTCCTCATCCCTCTCCTCCTCCCACGCTTCCCCCTCCCTCCCTCCCTCCCTTCTCGGTCGCGGGGCTGGCGCTGCGATCCCATGGCCTTCTCTCCCCGGCCGCCCCCCCCCCCTTCCCTGGAGAGAGCGCAGGAGGGGCTGGCGAACAACACCCTGAGCCAGCAGACGCGCAACTGGCTCGCGGAGTACGGGTACACGGACAGGTCTCGGGTCGGGCGAAAGGGGGGGATAGCAAAGGGGGGGTTTGAGAATCAGCTCGCGTAGCTGATTTCCCCGGCGCCTCCCGGCGCCGGAGGCGGCTATGTATCGAGGAATGGGCCCCTAGGTGAAGCCGAAACCAGCTGCATGCAGCAAATTTCGTAACCCCCCCTTTCCCAATCCCCCCCTTTCGCCCGGCCCGAAGGTCGGAGGTCTATCAGCTCATGATCGAACACATGGCGGACGGCCTATTCAGCTGGAGCTTCCTGACCCTCGGAGGCAACTGCAAGCACAGCTTCCGGGTCCCCGGTCCTGCCGCTCCTGCCCAGGATCCTTCTCGTCCGTTTCTTCATTCTTCTCCACCACCTGCTCCTTGTCCGCCCCTCCCCTCCTCCACCTCCTCCTCCTCCTCCTCCTCCTTCTCCTCCTCCTCCTCCTCCTCATCCTCCTCCTCCTCCTCCCCCTCCCCGTTTTTCCCCGGCCCTCCTCATCTTTCCCTCCTCCTCGCTATCGTTGATGCCTTCTGTCCATCCGGTGTCCGTGTCCTCTTCCTCTTGGCACTGCTCGGACCTGTGCACCCTTTCTCGGCGAGGACCATCGAGGAGCATCCCAGATCCCCTCGCGAAAGAAAGACGCGCACGGAACCGACAAATAATGCATGGGGAGTGGACGTCCAAGCGATGGCAAGTTCTCACTCCGGGAGCACCAACAGGTGCCCTGCAAGAGCATGAAGCTGAGCGAGCTGGTCACCAGACTGAAGGAGAACTTCCCCGTCGAACCCAAGGTCGTGGTCTCGAGGGTCGAGGCCTCCTCTCTCTCTCTCTCTCTTCTTCCCCGTCTTCTTTATCCCCCCCCCTCCTCCTAGTCCTCCTTCTCTTCCTGTTGCTCCTCCTCTTCTTCCTCCTCCTCCTCCTCTTCCTTCTCCTCCTCGTCTTCCCTTCTTCTTTTTCCTCCTCATCCCTCTCCTCCTTGTCCCCCTCGCTCTTGGCCTGATCCACTCCTAACCCGAAACCTTGAAACACGCAGCATGTTATCTCCATCTGCTGCATCGTCTGGTCCACCAAAGATTATAAGACTCATTCGATCCCCTTCTGTTCAGCAGTCTCGATCTCGCTGGCTCGTGCTGCCTTGCGGGCTGTCAAGTTGCCCCTCGGCGGTGTTCTTAAGTCGGGCCTGTCCCCCTACAGGGGGATGGTGGAGGAAATTGAACAACTATTCAAACAATACATTCAAACATAGGCAAGAAATATTTCAGAAATCGTCCCAATCATATGTCTGGCTATTTTTGCATATTCCTCCTGTAGAGGGACAGGCCCGACTGAACAGTATTCGTCGACGGCGACCGCGGGGGCGGTGATGAGGACATGCCGTACCCCCCGTATGACGCTCAAACCTCCTTCTCTTCCTCGTCCTTCTAATCGTCCTCATCCTGGAGGCCCTCGACCACCTCACGAGGAAGAAGATCGAGAACCCACAGCGGCTCGTGCAGCAGGGCGAGCAGGTGATCATCGTGATCAAGACGATGGATATGCCGAAGATGACCGTGTCGTCCGGGACGCAGACCGCGTCGACCGGGTCCGACGCCACCGGGTCGCAGCCCGCGCCGAAGGTGGCCACGGATGATGATGAGTAGGAGGAGGAGGGTGAGGAGGAGGAGGAGGGAGAAGAAGAAGAAGGAGAAGAAGAAGAAGAAGATGAGTGACTCCGACCTCCGACGACATGGTTTTTCTCCGTCCGGCTTTTTCCCCCGATTTCAGCTTCCAGACTTCACCATCGGGCCCCATGACCATCAAACATGGATCCAGGACGAAAAGCTGCCTGTGCAGACAGGGGAGATCTATATCTTTTGATTTGCCTGTTCGTCTCGTGATGGAGATGCAATGGCGTTAACCATGAGGTGGTGAGTCCTCAAGGAATGCAGCGCAACAGTCATGGACTCTGATCTCTGCGAGGTCGCCAGACGCATCAATGTAGACTTTCCGATGTAAGGTCCGCGATAAGCAGTTCAGCTGAAATCTTCTGGAACGGCTGGGGGAGTGGAAACCCACCAGTGAAGATCGGGTATAGCCAGGACCCCAGTTAAGGGGACCCGGTTAGTGGTGGGGCCCTGGTCCCCCTAAATTGGCCAGAATCACTAAACAAGGTCTGCCGTAGCTGGTGTTTTGTCGGGTGACGGCAGTTCCGTTTAGTGGAACGGGGCGGGGGGGGCGTCCCCCAGTACACATCACTAAACCAGGCCCCACTAAGCCCAGTTCTGCCAACGCCCGAAAAGAACCGACGCCTGAGCTGAGATCGACGCGTGGATGAGAGGATCCCACGCGAAACCCGTGTGCTCGTGTCCGGCGCGTGCAGAGCCTAAAGAGGCAGAGTGGGCGGAAACTCTTGGGAGCCTGAGGACGACAGACACAGGGAACCGCCGGACAGCGCCCAAGAGACCACCGAGTGCTTGAAGAAGTCCTTCGCGGAAGTCGCACGTTTGGCAACATGGCCCATACAGTCGGCCCAAATTAGTAGGCCGACCCTGCCTGATCAAGGGTACCCTTGCGTCCTGTGTCTCGCGACCCATGCTTCCTACATTCCTGCGGCAATGTGGCCCTCGGGAGGGTCATTGTGTCCTCTCGCGTGTCCTGCCCCACCGAGTCCGACTGTAGGACCAGTGCGCACTGCCAGTCAAACGGGAGGTGGGGAGCCCACCGCCGCCTGCGCTGGAGCCCGCGGCTCCCCGCCCGCCAGGCCCACGCGGCGTCTCGCTCGCCTGCCAATCTCCTCGCCGTCGTGGCCGTCAGCGCCGCAGCCATCGCCGCAGTCCTCGCCGTCGGCGAGCAGGCCCGGGCCGGAGCAGTGCCCGCTCGGGCCCGCAGGGCAGGGGCAGCGCGCCCTCCCATTGCGCTCGCGCGGAGGGCCAGAGTGGACTGGAAGTGAGAAGCCTGCCCCTGTCTGCGGGGAAGGTGCCGGGGCCTCTAGGGCCGCGCGTGGAGAAAAAACTCCTCTTCTCAGAGGTCTGGGAGGGGTGGCACACACGGGAGGGACAACAGGGAATGGGGGACGAGAAGGGAGGCGATGGGGAGCCGGAGGGCGACGAGGCAGAGGCGGCGCAGGAGGGAGGGAGGGGAGGGAGGTCACCCCTCGGCCCCCGCCACCCTGGCTGTCGGACGCCCCTCTGCCGGAGGCCGCGGCGCAGTCTACCGCGGCTTCCTCCACGGGCTACCCGGCACCGCCGGGGGCGGCCGCGGCAGGCGGGGGGCGGCCAGGCGGGCCGCTCCCGGACGCCATGGTCGGGCGCGTGAAGACCGAGAGCGCCGCTTCGGGTTCCTCGCAGCCTTCGGTGGCCCGCTTAGTTGCCCCGACCGCGCTCGGTTTCGGGGCGCTGCGCGTGCCGTGCTTCGAACGTCCCATGCCAGCGCGCTGCGCGTTGGCTCTGCACATGTAGGCACGCGTGTGGGCGAAGTGATTTCGCCACACCTTCTGATGTTCCAACCTACTCTTAGCCTGGACCACCAGGAAGAACTTCGAGCACCAGAAGAGAAAAGTACCGAAACGCGAGGGTTTTCACGCGTCGGGCCCTGGGAGACTCGTCCGATCCTGTTTCGACACTCTTTCGACAATTTTCCTGGTGCGTGAAATTCTTTCTGGGATGTGGTCCTTAAGTACGACGGGAGCAGCATAAGCCATACCTACGTTTTGAATATGTGTGCTGAGTTCCGTGTGCGTCAGCACGCTGCGGGTAGCGTGCTACGTGTCGAGGCGGCCGAGGCCGCCCTGAGCCCGAGCGGCGGGAGTGCCGCCGCGAACGCGGCGGAGAAGGGGAGGGCGTCGCTGCGCAAGGCGAACACGGAGCCTCGCGCGGGCGGGGGGACGGCACGGGTCGGTTGCGCCCCGATGAGGGCGAGTTGAGGCAGCGTCAGTTTCAAGCAGTTGCGAAGCATCCTGGCTCGCCTATAGCCTTACCAATTCTAAGAACCTTTTGTGGCTTCCACGAAATGTCCTCAGAACAGTTCTGGCTGGGACTGTCTTGGTTTAGCACATCGGGTCAATGTTCTAAGAACATTGCTTTTGTTATTAAAACAGCTTTGTATTCTAAGCACATGTCGTGGTAGGCCTGTAGGAACGCCGGGACGGTCGGTTCCTGCTCACTAGTTTCGGGGAAACGTGAGACTCGAGTTCGCCGGAACTTGGATTTGCCCACGCTTTCTGGCGGGCCCATCCTGGATCTCGTCGGGCCGTTTCTCGTGAGAGATGTGTGCAGCGGGAGTTCGCGCGCCTGGTTTCGGGCTGGGTCTCTGCTTGCCCTCACGGCCCCGTCTGGCCAGCCCGAAGCTCCCGAACCCGACCCTGGCCTCCTCTCGACCTCCCCTCGACCTCCACCTTCCGCACCTTCGGGGCGGCAGATGCCTTGCAGCCGCCGCCAGCAGCGCGCGGCCGCAGTGGCGGCCGCCGTCGAGGCCGCGCCGCGGCGGCACCTGCCGTGCGGAAGGCTCGGGAGGAGGAGGTCGGGGGGTTCGCGGGGGCCCTTCGTCGCCGCGGCGGAGCGCAGCTCGGAGAGCTGGTGCGCCGGGGCCCCGGGAGGCGTCATGGGGTCCGACGGCGTGGGGCTGCCGCGGTCGCCAGCCACTCGCTCGCCCTGCCCCCGGGTGAAGGCACGGAGGGGCTGCACGTGCCGAGGAGCGGCGGCGCGCCCAGGGGGGGGCGTGGCGCGAGGGGGGTGGCGTTCGGAGGTGATGGGCCCGTTTTCCGCCACCACCACCACAAGTTGGATTGGGGGGAGGAGGAGGAGGAGGAGGAGGAGGAGGAGGAGGAGGAGGAGGAGGAGGAGGAGGAGAAAGACCCTCTCTCCAACTTATGGTCGTGGTGGTGGGAAACAGGCCCATCACTGAGGGCGCACGGGGGCTTCTTGGAAGGGTGCCTTCTGAGAAGGACCTGCAGGCTTCCGAGCAGTCCTCTTAGAAAGCTTCTGGGCGCTTCTGCTCGAGGCTCTTCCAAGAAGGCCCCCCTGCCTTCTGAGAGGTCCCCCTGCCGTCGTCGAGGCCACCCCTGGGGCCCCTTGGGCGCGCCGCCAAGAACAGGAGTGGCATGGCATGCCGCCGGAGTGGCCTTTTGCGCGGGCCCACAAGCGCGGGCCTTCAAGGGAATTACCCCCCCCCGCACCGGCTGGCGCGCTTGGGTTTTGTGCCCCGCCCTCCCCCCCCCACGGCGGCCCCCTAGCACCACGAGTCAATCATGCGTTCGGGCTACCCCTCCGTGCAGCCGAATGGGTCGTGCGCTCAAAGACGCCCGAATATTTACACAAATCAAGGCGCGGAGTTTTGCTTCGCTCTTTCGGACTCCAGGGACCCTCGCCGGGCCCAGGGCTGTCAAGGGACGCGACCGGATGGATCGCGCGCCCCTTATAGGAAAGGGTTTGGGGGCTTCCCGCCGTCCCTTTTCGAAACAAAAACATAAACATCCTCATCCTCCTCCTCCTCCCCGTCCTTCTCCTCCTCCCCCTCCTCCCCGTCGTCGTCGTCGTCGTCCTCCTCCTCCGTAGACATTTTGGCTCAAGATGCCGACCTTGGGAGGCTGTCAGCCTCCTGACCGAACGGAAACCGCTACTCCGCGGATTGCGTTCGAGCATACTCGGGGCAAGGGTGTCCCGTTGATCGAACGTCTGCACAGATTTGTCTCTCCATGGCGGACGCCCCTCCCGCAGCCACGGTCCCAGACGGGACGTTCCGACGCGGTAGCATCCAGAAGCACAGCCAAGGCCATGCTGACGCTGATCCTCCTGGTGGTCGTGGTGATCGCTCACGGACTCCGCTGCCCATTAACGAGTCCGCGCTCGACTCCTTCGCCACCGTGGCTTATGTCCAGTCCCTCAAGGACAAGCTCGACTCCATGGAGGCCGCCATCAGGGACACCATCAATGCATCAGTCTCCTCGGCGATGGGTACGGCAACGGGCCCCATCTCAGCTGCACTCGCTGCAGCCCAAGCTGGCACCAACGGCCTCTCGGGCAAGATCGAGCAGGAAGAGGGTCTCGCCGTGGGCCAGCAGATCGACGCCAGCCGCAAGTCTTTTCAGCAACAAGTCGACGCGCTCACCCAGCGGATGGGCGACATCGAGAGCCGCCAGGACCAAGCTGACAAGGCCATCTCCCAAATGTCCGAACAGATCGCGGCGTTGCAGAAAGCGCTCGAAGTGGCCAACAAACAACCGGCGCAGGAGACCTTAGTGGGCCGCGACTTCGACAGAGATGTGGACCTCACTATCGTCAAAGTGCATGCGGACGGTCTGGTCACCCTCGACAAGGCCATAGAAGCGCTCACCAAGTGGATCAGCGACTGTGGCATCGAGGAATCGCGTTTCAAGGTACAGGGCCACGACACCTCCGTATACTTCACGATCCAGTTCACGGGCTTGCCTGGGCCCGCCTCCCGCAGAGTTCAGAAATCATTTGACAGTCTTCGCAATCGTGACGGCAGTTGGCCCCGCATCCGCGCGCCAGCGATTGCAGGCAACGGGTCTGTCGACCTGCGGGTGGGGCCAGACAGGTCTCCCAAGCAAATCAAGACAGAGATCGTCGGCAAGCGCATACGGCGAGCACTGGAGCGGGCCTTCCCTACCCACACGCGGAGAGTCGATTGCGCAAAGGGCTGGATCTCGGCCAACTGGTCCCCCGTGCTCTCCTACATCTTCGACGTGATGAAGCTTCGACGATTGCCTACTAGGACCCTTCCCACCCTGGGCATCACCCGAGCGCAGATCAAGGACGCCATCGACGATGTGGTCACGCCCGAGGCTGCCCCTCAGTTTTGGCTTCGGCATGATCGCCAAGGGGCTGAAGCGAGCGCCATGCGGTCCGTCTCCGAGTCTGGTTGTTGGCATTTGGAATGCGCGGGCCCTCCTCAGTTACCAAAGACGCCGAGTGGTTCAGAGGTCTTCCTACCGGCCCCCCCCCCCCCCCCCCCCCTCGACGAGATGGTCTTGGGCGCCCAGGAGGCCCGCCAGAACCGCGCCCAGCTTCTCGCCTTCGCGCGGAAGGTCAGCACCGAGCTCTCCATGCATTCCTCCCTCGCGCCATGTCACCATGGGGAAGTCAGTGGCGGTGTTGCTGCGGCCCCCCCTTCAGGTCTCAAAGCGGCGAGCGACGCCCTCCTCCCAGGGCGTGTCTTGCGCGCCGTTTTCCAGGCTGATGAGCAGTGCTGATCTTCTACAACATCCACAACTACGAGATCGGCAACGCGGCGGCCATGCGCACCTCGACCAAGATCAACGGCGACATGCACCTGGCGAGGGACAACAGGAGCAAGATCGCGCCGGTCGTCATCGGGGACTTCAACTTCGCCGCCGTCGGGAAGCTGAAGCCCACCGAACCGTCCGCCAGAGCCTCGTCGGATGCAACCGAGACTTCCAAAGCTTCGGCACGCCAGTGGCACGGCGCGCTCAAGCATCTATTGGAGTTCGAGGGCAGCGACGCAATTCATTTCTGTGCGGAGACGCTGGTTGAATCAACCATCGACCGCTGCTTCTGCTCGATCACGCCCTCCCAGATGATCCAGCTCGCCGTCGCCTCCGCCGCCTTCTCCACCCCCGAACTGCTGTCCTGCCGTCGGTTCAGCGACCATGCCGCAGTTCTCGTATCCTTCGCCATGCGTGACCTCGAAGATGAGAAGAACCAGCCGATTGCCCAGTGCATCTTCAAGCCCCTCATCTTCATGCAGATCGCGGAAAGGGCGTTCTCCCAGACCGACCTCGACAAACTGCCGCCGCCGGCCAGACTACTCCAGAGCACGGAGCTCCCACGTGAAGTCGCCCGTGCCGCTCGAGACCGCACTCACGAAGGAAATCCTGGACAAGGGGCTGTCCAGCTCCAGCGAGCCAAATCGATTGCCCGCGCGGTCTGGCGGCAGGATTGCAAGCTGGCGGTCAGACCCCTCCGCGCCCATGCCAAAGCTCAAGATATCCTCGACATCAGCATGGACCAGATCAAGCTCACGGACCCCGCCTCTTTCGAGGAGCGGGCCAGTGCCATCTTCCGTCAAGATGCGGATCAACGACGAGCCGCCGTTGATCTGGCTCGACAGCGAGGGCGCCTTCCCCATGCCGAAGCCCGCGCCCAGTCCCAACCTCTGCGCCGCAAGAGCCAGCTCTGGAACCCGATTATCAAACGCCTGGTGCTCACTGGTGCGAAGACAATTACTGGAACAGTGACGGGGCCGACTGAGAGACTGCAGAAGCTGATGGAGCACTGGCAACCCGTCTTCCAGGGCAAGACTGTGGACGCTGGGGCGGCGGGGATCTACTTCAGCCGATGCGCGCCCAAGATCGACTTCAACAGCTACGCGCCCCCCGACTACGACACGCTCAGGAGGTTCGCGCGCAGGTCCTCCCCCGCCCCCCCCGGCGTGGACGGGCCCCCCATGCGTCGCCTGGTCTGCGCGCGAGAAGTGCGCCGTGACACTCTGGCAGGTCACGACGTGGATGCTCGGCGGCGGCCTCTTCCCCGACGAAGCCAACGCGACGGCCCAGGCATTCCTTCCCATAGGAGAAGAATCCGACGACGCCGAGCACATCGGCTGCCGCCGTGACCCGTCCAAAGTTCCCGCCCTCGGGCTTCGGAACACCTCTCTCGGCATCGCCAGCAGCACCATGGGCGCTGCGATGGCCGCGGCGGCCGCCCATGTGGTACCAGCATCGCAGCGTGGCTTCATCACCGCCGCAACTTCGGCTACGACATCCGCGAGCTGGACGTCGAGAGCCGCGTCGCGTCCGCCGACTCCGACGCCAGGTCCAAGTTGCCCGTGCTGGTGTCGCTGGACATTGCGCTGGCCTTCCCGAGCTTCGCCCACCAGTTCATCCGCCTCGCGCTGAAGGCCATGGGGGCGCCCGTGGCCGCGCTGAACTTCTTCGACTCGATGTGGATAGCCTCGTGCGCTGGCTTGTATGTCCCGCTCTTCTACATCCGCTCGGGCATCGTCCAGGGCTGCGGGTGGAGCGGCATTCTCTACGCGATGGGCGCCGCCTGCGTCGTCCGCGACCTGGAGCAGCAGCTCGAACTCAAGGGCTAAGGGCTGCACCGCGCCTGCGCCGATGACCTCGGGCCGGCGCTGGCGGCGGCGGCCCACCTCGCGCACCTTGAAGGGGTGATGGCCCTCATGGAAAACCTGACGGGCCTCGCGCTGAAGCCTGCCAAGTGCCGCATCATCCCGCTTGCGGGCCCTGTCGATGACGGGCTCGTGAGCAAGCTGCGCGACGCCCTGGTCGCGATCGCCCCGCGCTTCCAGGAGTTCAACATTTGCGACAACCTGACCTACGTCGGTCTTCTCCTGGGGCCTGGAGCGACCGAGGGCTTGATCTACGCGAAGGCCTTTCAGAAGTTCCGCTGGCGCACCAAGATGCACACTGCCAGCGGCGCGCCCTCGGTGGGCCCCGCCCAGTTGTTCAAGAGCCGTGCTCTCCCTGTCCTCAGCTACTTAGCCCAGTGCGCGCCGCTGCCCCACGAGTCCTTCAAGGTTGAGAACTGGGTCAATGCATCGGTCCTGAGGTCCCCCAGCGGCGCGTTCAGGGTCAAGGACTGGCCAGGGCTACAGGACCGGGGCGCGCGCTCGCCGCGGCCCATGCAGCTCGCGACGATTGCCGCGATCGTCCGCGCCGCAACGCCCACCTTCCACAAGTTCCCCGAGAGCCGCAAACGCCTCCGCAAGGGATTGCGCCAGCACGGAGATGACCAAACCTTGCCGGGCGTTGCTCGCGCGGCACTGCATCTCTCCCCGCCCTGGTGGAAGACGCTGCCCTTCGTCGAGGCGTTCCGCGTGATCGTGCCCGCGGAGACGGACCACCGCTACTACCCGTCCGCGCTGCTCGCCCCTGCCCTCGCGGCCGCGCGGGCGCCCCTCGCGGCGGGCAAGCATGCCCGCGTGCAGCGGATGGCGCATGCTGCTGCCAGGAGCGCACTGGGCGCGGACGAGATTGGCACGTTCCTCGCGAAGATGCTCATGATCGAGCTGCCCGACCTCGTGAACACCTTCGAGAACGACTCCGAGGTGTTCGACCGGGTGAAGATCGCCATGACGAAGCTGCCGCTGTCGTGGGCCGCAGCATGGATGCGGTCTCTCTCTCTCTCTCTCTCTCTCTCTCTCTCTCTCTCTCTCTCTCTCTCTCTCTCTCTCTCTCTCTCTATCTCTTTCTCGTGGCTGACCTCGAGCAGGGTTGGCTACGAGCGCGGGTGCAGGCGCTGGATCTTCCAGTGCACAGTCGGCGCCGACTGCGAGAAACACTACCTGACGTGTGCCCCCCCTGGCTGCTGCCGTTGCGGCGGCGACCCGTGCCGCCGCCCAGACCGAGGACGTGGCGAACCTCGCGCTGCTGGACACAAGCTTGGAGAACATCGAGCGGGTCGTCATCGCCTGCGGCACTTACCACGTGCTCCGATTGGAGAACAGCGTCGACGCAGAGACCCTGCGCTCTGCGGCGCGGGCGGCACTGCGTGCATCGCGGACGATGCGCTGCCCGCCTCGGGCGCAGCGTGCTCCTCTCACCCGTGCTGGTGGAGTCCGCGGAGCTGCTGCGCACGTACCTCTTCAAGTGCACGTGCCTGGTGCGCCCGCCCCCGTGAGCAGGGGCTGGGCGCGGTGGCCGTGTCGCGGCTGTGCGCGGGGGCGCGCGGCAGGCGCCAGCGGCGGAGGCAAGACCGTGCGCCTCGGCACGCTCGACTCCTCCTCCTCCTCCTCCTCCTCCTCCTCCTCCTCCTCCTCCTCCCCCTCCTCCTCCCCCCCCTTCTCCTCCCCCCCCCTCCCCTCCTCCTCCTCCTCCTCCTCCTCCCCTCCTCCTCCTCCTCCTCCTCCTCCTCTTCCTCTCCTCCTCCTCCACCTCCTCCTCTCCCTCCTCCTTCTCCCCCCCCCCCCCTTGTGAATCTCAGATAGATTTCTAGGGTTCCTTGTGACCAGAGCTCCAGACCCCGTTTCCGTCCTGTCCGGGTCCACGGAGCTCTCGAACCCATGTGCAACCACCCGCACGTGCTCTGTTTTACTGTCCGTAGCCGTCCGGCTTATAGCCGGGCCAAGAGGCCCTTTTTGGTGATTTTGATTCATCGGTCCGAAGCTCAGGGGGACCGCTCGAGATAGAAAGCGAGTTTCTCTCATCGCTTCTGCTGCATATCAAGCTCTTCGAGCTCGACATCTCCGCCTACTGGAACAGCCCTGAGGACCAGCTCCTAGAGGTGGAGAGGACCAGCTCCCAGAGGCTGTGAGGATTTCTCGAGGTGAAAGGCTGAAGATCCGTGGAAGGCACGCTCCACTGACATTGGTAGCGCGACGAAGTGGCAGCCCACTTCGAGGTCGATCTCCAAATCGTGATGGCGAATGAGCAGCAGTCCGGCATCAAGATTCCTGTGTGGAATGGTGAGGCCTCCACTTTAGAGAGTTTCGAGGAGAAAGTAAAGCTGTGGGTCCTGGGCACGAAGAAGGATGACAGAATCTACCTTGGCCCGCGCCTGGTTCAGGCGATGGACGAGGACTCGCAGCAGTGGTTCGAGGCGAAGAAGGTGTCGCTCGATGACCTTGTCAAGGAAGACGGAGCTGAAAAGGTGGTGGAGGCACTCAAGGGAGTTCGAGGCACGGTCACGATGCAGGAGGCTGTGTCCAAGTGGAGAGAGTTTATGCGTGGAGTGTGTCGGCATCCAGGTGAAGGTCCGAAGCGATGGGTCTCTCGTTTCGACATCCACCTGAGCAAGATTGGGAAGGCCCTCCACGCAGTCTGTGATGATATTCCAGCCCAAGGGTTTATGCACGAATTCATCTTAGGGCTGATCCTGCTGGACGGGACGGGCCTAGATCCGTCAGAGCAGGCCGCGGTGCTGGCGACCAGCGGCCCCAAGGGCAACTCGTACCTCTATCAGGACGTGAAGAAGGCACTGGCTGAGCAGTGGTCGGAGGAGCAACTGGCATCGCGGGACGAGCAGAAGGGGTACAAGGCCAGAAAGGGCGCTCACGCGGTCTTCGACGACGCCGACGAGCTTGCCGCCTACGCCGAGGAGGTCTACGACGAGGCGCACATCGACGGGTTCGAGGAGGCGGCGGACATCACGGAGTCAGCGATGACGGCAGCCGAAGACCTGATGACTGCCGCGCTCGGTGAAGAGCCCATAGGAGACGAAGAGCAAGGAGAGGATGCGCTGGCAGCGGCCGCCTCGACGCACGAGACGAACGAGTGGACGGAGACGGCCTTCGCGGCTTCGAGGACGTTCGTGGAGGCGAGGAAGCTGATCAACGAGGTCAAGAACGCCAGGGGCTACTTTCCAGTGGTAGGCCTGGGTGCCTACGACGCGCTCCCGACTCAACCCGCCGCTGGAGCTGGGCGCGGACGGGCAGTGAGCCGGGGCGGGCCACCTCGCAAGGGCAAGGGCAAGGATCGAGGCGGCGTGGCAGGCCGCGGCAAGGGTCGCGGTCAGAGTCAGAAGCGTCCAGCAGCACTTCCGAAGGACTCGAACTCGGGGACCAATGACAAGTTCAAGGGGGCTTGCCTGCTCTGCGGCGAGCCGGGCCACAAGGCAAGGGACTGCCCCAATCGGGGCAACGGCGGCGCCCAAGGGGAGAGGCGCCGGGCTTTCAACAGCTTCGTTGGCGCGGCCGACGGCTACAGCAAGAAGGTCGAGTTCGAGGACGTCCAGGACGTGTTCATCGGCACGGTCAACGACGAGGGCGAGTCCAAGGACGGCGACGAGGAAGGGCTGGACGAGTTCGTGGCCTTCAGCATGGACGACTGCAAGGGCTACGCGCTCCTGGACGGTGGAGCGTCCAGGTCTGTTGGAGGCGTGGAGCAGCTAGAGTACGTGAACGAGCGACTGAGCGAGCCCATGGAGGTCAGCCCGGACAAGAGTCTGGGATTTTCGTTTGCTGGAGGCGACCGGGCCGACGCGCCCTCACGGGTGACCTTCAATGTGAAGGTCTTGAACGACGAGGCGGTGAGCATCTATGTGCTGGACCGTCAGTCTCCCGTGCTACTGGGAATCGATATGCTGAAGAAGTACGGGCTCGTGATCGATTACTTCCACAACACCGTGTACTCCCATCGGTTCAAGCGTGAGATCCCCACGAGAGTGCTCCCGTCAGGGCACTTGGCACTGAATCTTACTGCTCTGGGCAACGAGGCCTCGAGCGCAGGCAGCGAATAGGGACAGCACCCTGGTCGCGGCAATGAGACTGTGGAAAAGTCGTCATCCAAGTCTGTCGCCACCAGGGGCCCCAAAGACGCCAATGAGCTCCCCCAGATGCTCCAGAAGTTGCTCGAGGCCAGTGTCTCCATCATGGGCCCCTACCCCGAGCTAAGCCAGTCTATGCTACAACCTATTCTTGGGCATCTCTGGGAACGGGCTGACTGGAAAGAAGGTGCGAGAGTGAGTCGGGATATATGGGTCGACTGCTCACACGCTCTAGTTCGGGTTCATCATCGGGTTCGTTTTCAAAGGTGTGATCTTCGAGATTTTGAAGCTCGTGATTTAGCCAGCTTATCGGGGAAACGACGCACTCATATGATTCGAGAGGACGGGGAACCTATGATGATCATCGAGAGCCTACCGAATAAAACAGCTCGGCAAGTCGAACATTCGAGATGGGTCGGTCTTACTATCTACCCAAGATCCTTGTGTTCGAGAACCGTTTTGGCTCAAGAAGTTCAACGAAGCAGGTCTCAGATCGAGAGCGCGTTCCAGGCCGATGCCGAGATGCGCCCATCGGGATCAGACACGTCAGGGGTCCAACCATTTCGTGGACCTGATCAAGTGCAGGGACTGTGGGGAGGTCCTGTTCAAGCACCACTTCACGAAGACACGCGACCAGATGCTCTTCCAGTGCGTGCGCTCCCGACAGTACATCAACCGCCTGGAGACCACGGGTGCGGCCCAGCCCGCGTCGCCCATGGTAAACCAGTCGAGCTCCTCGGACAGCGAGGCCATGACGGCGACGACGGCGCCTGCGTCAAGGCCTCCACCGACCCCTCCAGGGGCTCCCAAGAAGCTGCCCGAGCGCCTGTCGGCCGAGGTGATTCGGAAGCTCACGGACACGGAGGTGCAGCAGATCATCGAGAGCGAGAGGATCAAGATCCGCCTGGAGGAGCAGCAGCGCCTCGCGCAGGAGATTCTCCAGAAGGGCCTCATCGACACGCCGACGGACCAGCCGGAGGCGGACGACAGGACCAGGCCGAGCAAGAGGCAGGGCGTCGGCCAGATGCCCAAGGGAGAGTCGATTCCCGTACCGGAGGATCTGCCGAAGCCGTCAGGAATGCCGAGGCCAGAGGATCTGCCGACCCCGTCGGGAATGCCGAGGCCAGCCGGAGACTTTCATCTCGTGTGAAGAGCTGTGTGCTTGGAGCGCTGATCGCGGCGACGACAGCTCTGGGAAAGATGCCGGGCACCGCCTGGGAGGCAGCCGAGACCTATGGTAGGCTGGACCTCGCAGAAGTGGCCTGCGTGTCCGACTCCAGGCTCACGCGCGCGATGATCGAGCAAGGAGGCAAGGCCGAGAGATTCAGCAACTGGAACGGGTATGACTTTTCCACCAGGTCTGGTGCAGAGAAGCTCGTGAAAGTACTGCGGGTCAAGAGGCCTCGAAGAGTTTGGTTTTCCCCACCGCGCGGAGCAGAGTGCCCATGGCAGAATCTGAACCCCGTAACGGCGGAGTCAGAGAAGAAGCTGATCAAGACCAGACGTATCCAGAGGAACGTCAAATGGGCTATCGGTCAGCTGCTGAACGAGGGTTTCTGTGACATATACCTTGAGCAGTCAGGACGCTGCAGGTCTTGGACAGGCAACTTCAAGGAGCTCAAGGAGTCCATGCACGGCTGCAGGATTCACGGATGCATGTATGACATGAGAGACGAGCAGAACGGTCTCCTCATACGCAAGGACTGGCACATCGCGACCACAGACCCGCAGTTCGAGAAGAAGGTTGGGAGGATTTGTCCAGATCTGCATCTGCATATGCCGCTGGAGGGCGGCACGAGAGTGGCTCTTTCAGCGAATTATCCCGTGAACATGTGCAGGAGGATCGCCCAGCACTTCATGACCAGGGCCACCTCGGACGAGGCCCTCGCCTATCTGGTGCAGGCCCACAACGAGCTGGACGACGAACTGTGTGCAGCGGGCTACAGGCGATTGCGGGGGAAGCGGCCCGCCTCTGAGGGGCCACCACCGCCGCTGCCGAAGCGTCCAACGCTGGAGCCCACAGCTCCTGAAGGTCAAGGAGAAAGAGCAGGCGGACCAGTACCAGCTCCTGATCCTGACGACCCTGGAGATGCTCAAGGTCCTCCAGAAGGCGAGGCGCCCCTGCCGACGCCCGAGTCGGGAGGTCAAGAGCAGTCGGTGGGCAATCTCAGACTGCCACTGCCAAAGAGTGTCTTGAGCTGTACCAAGACAGAGTTGCGAGAGCTGGAGGCCATCATCGCACATATCCATCGGAATTTCGGACACTGCAGTATGAGCACGGTCAGCGCCGCCCTCAGGTCTCGCAAGGCGGACCAGAAGCTCATTGATCTTTGCAGCCACTACGAGTGTCCAGCCTGCAAGGCAGCTCAAAGGTTTCAGATGCGACCTATTGCCAGCTCAGAACCGACTTTACCCGCTCCTGGTACTGAAATGGGTTGCGACAACTTCTATTGGACACATCCTCGACGAGCCTACCAAGTTTGTGGGACTCTCTGTGCAGATTATGGCAGCCGTTTTACCCAGACATCGATTCACTGTCAGAAGGGTGTCGCGGAGCATTGTGGCAACACCACCGCGAAGGAGATGCAGGAGGTAGTGCTGAAGGACTGGATCCACCACTACGGCAAGCCGGAGGTCTTCAGGACAGATCCCGAAGGTTGCTTCAGGCAGGTCGAGCAGCGCGCCTGGGTCTCGGGTAACGGCATGGAGTGGAGACCAGAACCCGGAGAAGCTCACTGGCGAATGGGAGTGATCGAAAGATGCATCGAGACGATCAAGGAGATCGCCACTCGCCTCGCCTGGGAGCTACCAGATGACACCGAGCCCGCGGACATCTTTCGCTGGGCTTGCGTGGCTAACAACGACCTGATGCGACACCAAGGCTACAGCCCGATGATGCTCATGATGGGTCGTACCCCGTCGGGGCAGGGCTTAGAGCAAGTGGAGAATCCTTCAGTCCTGAGCGCCAATGTGGTGGACAAGCATTTCCAGGAGGTCACGCGCATCAAGGCGGCGGCTTACAAGGCGTGCGTGGACCACTACCTGTCGGAGAAGACGAAGCGCGCTCTGCTGGCCAAGACGAGGCCGTTCAAGACATGGGAGCCTGGTGAGAAGGCACACTACTGGCGAGGTGCGAAAGGTAACAGCCACAAGACTCGGCCAGGTATAGCTGGTCGATTTCACGGTCCCGCCACTGTCTTGATGCAGGAGCGCGAGATGAAGAATGGAGTTGCGGTGCGACGAGGAGTTGTCTGGCTTGTTGACGGTGACCGTCTTGTACGAGCAGCGGCCGCTCACCTCCGCACGACTACGAAAGCGGAGCAGACCCTGGAGAGCATCTCCGCAAGGAGCTCCGACCACTTCAAGAAGATTCTGCAGGAGTTGACGAAGGGTGCTTACGATGATGTGGTGGATCAGCCTGGTCCGGGAGAATGGGACGATATTCCAGAAGGAGAGAATGGTGAAGTACCGGACCCACCCAGGACGACAACTCCCAGAAGTACAGCATTTCCTCAACCTGACGATCACGAAGGAGAAGCGGGGTCGGGCTCGAGTGACCACGAAGGGGCCACACCTGAGGCCACACCGCCTCCGATGCCCGCACAGAATCCAGCTGAACCAGCACCGACACCGACCAGCGACCAGATCGACGAGAGCGAACCACCACCAGAAGGTTACAACAAGCGAGAAGCCAGCCAAGAGCCTCCTGGAGATCCAGAACCCAAGAGACATCGAGCCGACTTCGCAGGATACTTGAGCCATCTGTGCCAGAAAGTACCGACACTTGTCATGCCCGAGCTCGGTCGTGCCGATCCCGAGTCTGAGAGCAGTGCGAGTTGGACCTCACCCTGGGAGTATGATCAGAAGACGAAGGCTTCCGACCTGGTGGGTTTCGTGGGCGAGGACGAGCCGAACCTCGCGATCATGATCGGTTTCGCGCTGGAGGAGTCGGATGTGGATCAACTCAGCCGGAGGCCTGACACGGCCCTCGCTGCGATGGTCAAACAGAACAAGGTCGAGGTGAAGCTCAAGAACCTCACGGCAGAGGACCGTGAGAAGCTCCCGATCGCGAAGGGTAACGAGATCAAGTCGTTCCTCAAGTATCGAGTTTGCGAGGCGGCCAGTCGTGCTGGAGTACACCCAGGTGCTCTGATGAAGATGAGATGGGTCATTACAAGGAAGGAGACTGGCGACCTCAAGGCTCGGTTGGTGGTTCTTGGCTTTACCGATCCGGGACTTGGGCGGATCAAGACCGCTTCCCCAACATGCAGTCGTCGGGCTCGCCAAGCTTTCCTGGGCGTCTCCGCCTCGATGGGCTTTCAGGTCTTCAAGGGCGACGTCAAGGCAGCTTTCCTACAAGGCGACCTCGGAGAAGAAGATCGAAATGTCCTGGCCGAACCCGTCAAGGAACTCAGGGAAGCCATGCGACTCGAGCATCACCAATGTGTCAAACTCAAGAAGGCGGTCTACGGTCTGGTGAACGCTCCTCGCAGATGGTGGACAAGACTTCGCAGGGATATGGCCAAGCTCGGCTGGGTGGAGTCTACGACCGAACCTTGCCTGTGGTGTTTACGAGAACCTGGCGGACAGCTCAGAGGTCTGGCCGTAGCCCACGTGGGCGACTTCATGATCGCGATTGACCAGCACTCGGACTTTGCAGTGGACGCCCTGCAGCAGCTCCATCAAGCCTATGAGTGGGGAAGCTGGGAGACCCAGGATTTTGTTCAATGTGGGACGCGTATCCGACAAGAATATGATGGACGCACAAAGTCGTGGGGCCGTATTCATCTGACCATGATTGACTACGCCCAGGAGCTTCATGGAGATAGATATTCCCGCACATCGACGTCGCGATCCCGAGCAGCCGGTGACATCGTCAGAAGCTACCCGCCTGCGAGCTGCCTTTGGTCAGCTCATGTGGTTGGCTACGCAGGGCGTGCCCCTCATCGGGGCAGAACTGTCACTGCTGTTGGCATACAGTAACTCCGCAACAGTGAATACTCTCCTGCAGGCCAACAAGCTCATCAGGCGCACCAAGTTCGAGGCGACCAAGGAGCTCATCATGGAGAAACATGCGAATCCGTGTGCGGTCGGCTATTCGGACGCAGCGTGGAATGTTCGACGGGATGGTTCTTCACAAGGTGGTTTCTTGATTTTTCTGACAGATTATACCTTGATGCAGAACCGAGAGGCGCCGATCTCTCTGCTGGCCTGGGCATCTGCAAAGTTGCCAAGGGTGTGTCGGAGCTCGAGTGCGGCCGAAGTACAGGCCGCCAGTGAAGCTCAAGAGGAACTGGAGTTCTGCAGGCTGCTGCTGAGCGAGATCCTGTTGGGACCAGCGCCTCTGAAGCAGTGGACTTCGAGCTGTGCGAAGATTCCTGGTGCCCTGGTCCTGGACTGCCGCGGCGTGTTCGATGCCCTGGATCGGTCAGAGAGCAGCGCCCTCGGCATGAAAGACAAGAGGAGCGCGCTGGAGGCCCTGGCCCTCAAACGCGGCATGGCCGCCACGTCGACATCCCTGCGGTGGTGTCACAGCGGTGCGCAGCTGAGCGATTGTATGACCAAGAACTCGGAGAAGGCTCGTGCCAGCTACAACCTGTGGCTACAGCGAGGTACATGGAAGCTGATATACGATGCTAACTTCATCTCCGAAAAGCAGAGGAAACAACGAGGACTGCAGACACTAGACCAGGCTACATATTTTGCAGTCGATGACGATGATGCCTGGCAGTTGTACCCAGAGGATTTGGAGATCGAGGAGGAGATAGATATTCCCCAGGACTTCCGACTCCCGGAAGCGGTGAGCGTGATGAGACATGATGCTACCTGTGTGCAGTAGCCTACACCACCTAAGGGGAATATTCTATGTGTGTACAGCAGTTCTTTCTCACTCCCCCCCTGAGCGTGAAATAACGTTAACATTTAAACAGCCGGCCGTGCAGATGGTTCGGGGCATGTGAATCTCAGATAGATTTCTAGGGTTCCTTGTGACCAGAGCTCCAGACCCCGTTTCCGTCCTGTTCGGGTCCACGGAGCTCTCGAACCCATGTGCAACCACCCGCACGTGCTCTGTTTTACTGTCCGTAGCCGTCCGGCTTATAGCCGGGCCAAGAGGCCCTTTTTGGTGATTTTGATTCATCGGTCCGAAGCTCAGGGGGACCGCTCGAGATAGAAAGCGAGTTTCTCTCATCGTTTCTGCTGCATATCAAGTTCTTCGAGCTCGACATCTCCGCCTACTGGAACAGCCCTGAGGACCAGCTCCTAGAGGTGGAGAGGACCAGCTCCCAGAGGCTGTGAGGATTTCTCGAGGTGGAAGGCTGAAGATCCGTGGAAGGCACGCTCCACTGACACCCCTCCCCCTCCTCCTGCAGGCCAAGACTGCCCGGCAAGAGGAGCTCAAGGTCGAGCTGCAGAAGGCCCGTGGCTCGACGCCTGGCGCGGGGCCTCCGCCAGATGCGGTGCATATGCCGACTGGCTCCCAGATCAACCTGTCGCAGTTGCCGGGGGGGGGGAAGTAGCTTCGAAGGCGTGGAGATCGTGGACGGCGAGGCTCTCGACCTCAGCGAGCTCGAGATTGAAGACGAGGACAAGCAGCGGTGGCTTGCCCTCAACAGCAACATGGCGGCGGAGATCCAGAAGGCAATTGTCGCTGCCATCGGGCCCAGCGCTGACAAAATTCAGCGGCTCAGAGCTGAAGCCAGAGACATGCGGAAACGCTTGTCGGCCAAGCGTGCCCGCCAGTCCGACCGCGGCGATGGCGCCAGTGCCGCCGCCGCCGCCCAGCCTGGGACGCCACCCGCATCGGCGCCTGGGGCTCCTCCTGCGGATGGTGCTGCCATGTCTGGTGCTGAGTTTGCAGTGCCTGAGTCGGCGGCCACGACGCCCTCGGGGTGAGCCGACACTCCCAGCACCCAGGGGCTGCAAGCTGCTGTCGAGGCGGCAAGAGCCAAGCCGGCCGAGGGCAGTGGGTCGGGCCTCTAGGGCTCAGCAGCTGTCAGGCAGGTGGCGCGCGGTTTTTTCCGGGCTGGCGGTCCCTGGGGAGCCCGTGGAAGGGCAGACCCTAAAGGCGGGCAGCGGGTCCTGGATCGAGGCCGCGGACGTGCGGGTGGTCGATGCCTTCGATCGGATCCAGCCTCCACCCTGGGCTGCAGACGTGCAGGTGGTCGAAGCCCCGAGGTGGGGCGGCCTTGCCCCCTCACCGCATGCGAGGCGGTGGCGCGCTGGTTTTTCGGGGCTGGCGGTCCTTGGGGAGCCCATGGAAGGGCATGCCTTAAAGGCAGGCAGCGGGTCCTTGATCGATGCCGCAGACGCGCGGGTGGTCGATGCCTTCGATCGGATCCAGCCTCCACCTTGGGCTGCAGACGTGCAGGTGGTCGATGCCCCAAGTTGGAGCGGCCTAGCCCCCACACTGCATACGAGGCGGTGGCGCGCTGGTTATTCGGGGCTGGCGGTCCCTGGGGAACCCGTGGAAGGGCAGACCCTAAAGGCAGGCAGCGGGTCGTGGATTGGAGCCGCAGACGAGTGGGTGGCCGATGCCTTCGATCAGACTCAGCCGCCACCCTGGGCTGCTGACGCGCAGGCGGTCGATGCCCCAGCGTGGGGCGGCCTTGCCCCCCTCGCAGCAGTGGAGGCGGCGGCGCGCAGGAGGTTCGGGGCTGGTGGACCCTGGGGAGCCCGCGGGAGGGCAGACCCTAAAGGACGGCAGCGGGTCTTGGATCGAGGCCGCAGACGCGCGGGTGGACGAAGCCTTCGATCAGACCCAGCCTCTTTCATGGGCTGCAGACGTGCAGATGGTCGATGCCCCAGGTCGGAGCGGCCCTCCACCCACATCTCGGAGATTGGATTTCCAGCTGGTCAACTACAACAGCAGTTCGTGGTCTTCGGCTCAGAATCGCATCGGGTGGGCCTTGAACGCGAAAAATTGTGTGCTCGATGCCTTTTTATAAAGAACATAGGCTGGCACTGGAACAGTTCAAAGCGGCTCGCAGTTGGGCCGTTGGGGTCACACAGCTGGAAACATGTCATGGTTCGCGGAAGCGGCGCGAACGGGAGCGGGACGCCGAGGGACGTCTGGAAGGACGGCCATCGCAGGTAAGGCTAATTTTGGCAGCAATTGGCATGGGCAGGGCAGCTGGTCTGAGAGGCTCTGCATTGTCAAGGTCATGTTGCACCATTCCTTCCCGTCCTTTTTTGGTTCAGTGTACGGCCACACCACGCTTGGGCCCTCAGGCGACAACCTTGCGTTTGGTGAGGAGCTCAGGGAAGCGGTGGCCTTGGTTGGCTGCCCGCTTGTTCTAGGAGCAGACCGGAACATTGATACGGAGCAGCTGACTACATCCCAATAGGCAGTTCTCCCTGGGGCGACAGTGGTCAGGCCCCCAGGGGGGGGGGGCGAGCCACAGTAACGGGTGTGACTTGTTTGAGGTCGGCCGCGGGCTCGAATTTCATAGTAAAGAGTGCATTGAGCAGCCTAACGCGCCAGTTGGGCCTCATTCTGCAGTTGTGCTTCAGTTCAAGCAGGTGGCTGGACAGGCCAATGCTTGGCCGCGAGCGGCCCCTCGCAGTTTCCCGTTGCCCAAGGATGAAGAGGAGAAGGCCAGCATGCAGTGGGACCCCAGCCAGCAGTCGCCCCTATTTGACTGGGCTTCGCTCTCGCCCCAAGCAGCGATGGGGCAGGTGTTCGACGCTGCCGAGTTGGCCCGCGGTCGCCTTCATGAGCTAGATGACAAGCAGTTGTTTGGCGGAGCCAAGGGCGGCCAAATTCAGGCAGGGCCGCTAGAAGCAGCGTGGGGTCGGGAGCTGCACAGGCGCTCCCTTCCTGGGACCCACCGCTGGTTGTCTTTGAGGCGTTTGACCTTGGTGGACATGAAGGCGGCGACAGACGGCAGACGGCGGCGCCTGTTTGACTCGGCCAGGCCGCTGCAGGACCTGCTGGTGGAGGTTGAGGAACCTCGGCTCGCGGGGCTGACGGTGGCTGAACTTTTTCAAGGCCTAGGGGGTCCCAGTAGCGCAGGCTCTGTGAATGCTTTTCAGTGTGCAGTGGACAGTCGAGTGCAGCAGGAGGCGGCGGAAGGCCGAAAGAGATGGGCAACGTGGGCTCGGTCGGCGGTCGGGCGTCGAGGTCGGGGGGCTCGCAGATGCTCGGAAGGCCCCGCTCAGCCTCCTTTGCCAGTCTTTGAGGACGAGGATCTCACTGTGCCAGTGAGAGGTCCCAGGCCGCTTGTCGGGCAGGCGGCAGTCGTTCGCACTTCGCGTGATTGGGGGACCAAGGTTGAAGGACAAGCGGCGCCGTTTTGGAAAGAAGCGTTTCATGAAGGAGCGCCCGATCTGGTGAGGTTCTGTAAGGTGGCGGCCCACACGACGGTGACTGTGATGCGCGAAGGGCGTATCAGGCACTGTGAGTGGGAGGGCAGTGCCGAAGCCGATCGACTTCCGGATTTAAGTGCGGAGCTATGCGGTTGCCCGTCCAATGTTGTCATGATGTCCAAAGGCATGCTCCAGGTCGCACGCCTTCTCCTGCAGTCCATTTGCAGGGCTGAAGGCCCATATGTGCAGGAAGGCAGGTTGTACAATGGCGGAGTCCAGGGGCTCACAGAGATCTCCCTGGAAGGGAGATCCGACTTTGAGGAGGCACTTGAGGCGGTGAGGTGGCGGGGGGGGGGGGGTGCTGATGATGCTGCTGCTCCTGCCCCTCCTCCCGACGCTCCTCAAATGTCCTGGAGACCTCCATCAGAGCCCTTGGCGCCCGAGCTGCTGGCGATGGCAGGGGATGCCCTTCAGGCCCCTGCTTTCAGCGGAGGGCTTGTTTTGCTGCAGCTAGCGGATGAGGATCAACAGCCTCCCTCTCTTTTTTGCTCGACCTATGGCGAGTATGACAAGGTGTCTGCGGGATCCAGAGGCCTGCGTCAGGGCTGCGGAGGGTCCCAGCAGACCTTGGCTGACCTAGGCAGGAAGAGCTCTTGGGCAGTCAGCAAGGACAAGCACCCCAGCAGGTCTCTCAAACTGGGCTCCTGGCTAACTCCTGGGGCTTGGGCGCGGGAGCCGGTGGGGGGGGGTCTCGGAGCCCAAGAAGGCCCAGATGGGAGATGTAGGTGTGGCCAGAGCCACTTCGGACCATCCTGCACGTGCAGGTTTGTGCCTGGCCGATGTCCTGCAAGCGTTCGGGCCTAATGAGTTCGAAGCCGCTGAGTTGGGACTGAGGCGATGTTAACGAGGCCCAGACAATGATCTGGAGGAAGATGAACTGGGCGGTTAGATACCCAGGGGGGGCCTGTCGCTGGCCCCTGGCAGGTCTTGGGCCTTCCTGCCAGGGCGACAAAAAGTTCCCCTCTGATGGCCCCCCCTGGGTTGTTTGGACTGTCGGACTTCCTCCCCCCCCTTTTCCCCTCAGTGGCGTGCGATCCCCCTCCTCCTCCTCCTCCTCCTCCTCCTCCTCCTCCTCCTCCTCCTCCTCCTCCTCCCCCGTCCTTGTCCTCCTCCTCCTCCCCCTCCTCCTCCTCCTCCTCCTCCTCCTCCTCCTCCTCTCCATTCCTTCTTCTTATACTTCATTTCTCTCTGTCGCACCCCTGGGCCAGTTTTGGGGGCGGGCCGCGCGTTTCACCTGAGCCTTTCTAACCGCTTATGACCCTGAAGTTCAAGCGGTGGCAACAGCTTCACAGATGGAGGGCAGGTGTTTTTCAACATGTGGCTCTCGCCTTAGCACCGCGCGCATTCGGCTTGGCAAACATTGCAAGAGTTTTCGCGGATTGAATGCGGGTGGTTTTCAAAATCTGGCTCTCG